GCTCGGCCAATTGAGCAGTTGACTTAAAAATCAACTGTATTGAGAAAAAGTCAATTGTGGCCAGTTTACAGTCAAACTTCATAATTTTTTATCTACATCAACATTTTAAACTCATATATATCATTTGATCAAGTTTTGACCATAATTCTTCAAGAAATTTGATCAGATCTTCAAAAGGGCAAAATGGTCAAAATTAGGGTTTTGATTGGGAAAGGGCAATTTCTGATTTTTGACCTAGCAAATGATCAATTGGTTTAAGGCATGGCATCAAGAGTCAAATTTAATTATTTTGACCTAATGACATGGCTCAAAACATTGCTCAAGTTCAAAGGATTGACAGATGAATTTTCAGTCAATTGATCAAAAGTCAACTATATACTGAAAAGTCAAACTTTGACTTTTTTGGTCAAATTTAATGTCAAAGATCACAATTCATCAAAACATGTCAAAATATGAAACTTATTCATCAATAAATCAAAAAGTCAAGATTTCATTTTGAAAAGTCAAAGTTTTCTAACTTAGAAAATTTTCTAAGTGTTTAAACTTCATGTTTTTTCTTAACTTTGAGCAAAATTTTCACCATGATGCAAGATGATTCAAAAGAAACTTCCAACATGAAAGTTGTAGATCTCCATGAAATATACAACTTTGCCTCACACAACTACTTCCTAAAGTGCTTGTATCTCAAGTTATAATTTTAAGAATACATGGTCATGAAACAAAAACACTTAGTGAAATTTTGCCCTAATTTGGTCAGGATTTTGACCTAACTTCATGGAACTTTTTCATATAGTTCCAAGGAGAATTTTCAAAATTGAATCAAAGATGGATTTTAGAGCACATTACAAGCTTTCCAAAATGTCCAAGAACTCCTTGAGATCATTCTTGAGCATGGAGAATCGAAGAGAGGAAGTTAGGGTTTTCAAACTTGAATTACAAGTCATTTTTTGATGAACACATGAACCAAATCCATGCTAGGCTGCATAATCTTTGCTTTTCCGGACTCAAACTTGTTTGTCACTCCATAATTAAATGTTTACACAACTGTTAGGGCTTTGATCCAAGCAATTGAGCTATTATCCAAGTTGCATTTCCATTAATGGCACAAAGTTAACATTGCCATTCTTGTAAAGCAAGCTTTTTGCATAAAGTCCATTCTTGAGCCTCTAACTTGTTACCTCTAATCATACTTCGTCAACAAAGTCAAAAGCAAGCTCGTTTAAAGCATAACCACTCTATGAACCAAGTACAAGGCATAGAAACTTGTTTTGTAAAAAAATCACATGTTGAACTTAAACATGTAAATGTGAATTTTGATCAACTAGAGCACTCCAAACTTATTGCTTATAAATAGAGTCACTATTTTTGAGCTAAGGGGAGATTTTTAGCACCCTAAAACACTCCCAAATTCCCTCTATCCAGAAATTGCACAAACAACTCCATTGATACACATTTCTGACCTTAAACTTGTATCTCTCGTTTCCCTCGTGAGTTTTCCCTCAAATTCATTCCTAAAGCTTCCTTACATCAAATACAACTCATCTCATCCTTATTCCAGAACTGTAACACCATTTACCATAACCTTCATAACCAAAAAAATAGAGTCTACAACTTGACTTCTCCATGCCATTTCAACCACTCTCAACTCAAGCAAACCATTGCATTAGCTTCCTAGGGACTTGAGGAAGCTAGCCTGATCATCACCACTGCATGAAACAAGCTGAAATCCATTTACAATTTCCAGTTTTAAGGTATTTTTCTTGAACTTCTATCTTCATATTTAGGCATTGTTAGGCTTGCATTTGTGAAGGTAAAATGTAGACATCATTGCACTGAAACTATACATGTCCATAGATTTCATTTATTTTGATTAAGCTAGGAGAATTTTGAGTTTGAAATTTCTGAAACATTTAGGTCAAAATTTGGTACTTTTAGAAATTCTCATTCATCTTTGATTTATAGCTTATGATTTTTATATGGTTGGATTCGTATGAAAAAACGGAGCAACTTTCATGTTTGCATATTTCATTTTTGTTGAGAAATGAGCAAGTTACAGGATCCATTGTTGCACCCCAAAATTTTCCCTCCTAATTTCCTTTATTTTGGCTTAGACTTTTGCATTCATCTGCATCTTTTTTCATTAGGTCACTAACATGGCATACATTTCATTCAATATAGCTCTGAGGTTCAAAGTTCAGTGGTTGTGCGATACTAGGGTTTCATAGTGGTTAAGGCGCTCATATCCAATAAAGGACTTCTTCTCCCTCAAGCAGCAAGGCTATTATCTTTTGATAAACAACCGATTGTAGGTCATTCTGGTCAAGAACTCTAGGACGTGCCCTAGCATATGTGGCCTTCGAATCATGAAGTCCTTTCCTATAAGTATGCTTGTCATTTGATTAGGATTAATGACTGTGACATGAAAATCATCTACTCCTCAGTTAATCAAATTAGGTTTTGTGGAATCATGGTTCAAAGATGTTTTATCCGGATATTTCTCTGTACGTCTAAACGAGGAATCAAGATTGTGAGGGTTTCACATCAAGGGAAGTCTTCTGTGATTCAGACTTTATCATCCATCTGTAAGATGTTCCTTATGACACTAATCTCAAGTTGAAATAACCGATCGCTAAGGGCTGAGGATTGAATTGTGAAGCGTGGTTCATGACCTAAGATATGAATTCATAGATTTCTCCTTAACCAAGGCAATCATTATCCTCATCATTGTCATTTGTTATCTGCGATGCAAGTAGGTTTGGATTGAAGTAGGTTTCTCATAGAAGAATTCATGCAAGGTAATTCAAGGTTCAAGGCATTCAAGGCAAGGTTATGAATTTTTAGGATCAAGATCTTATTGACTATTCAAATTATTTGTCATTCAAGTTGATTTGGGTTCAAGATTGAAGTTAGGTGTTCATTGAGAATGCAAGTGTGATTTGGATTTGAAGTTTGATTTGAGTTCAAGATGTTCGAAAGTGTTTAATTGGATTAAAGTCGGCAAAGAGTCTTAAGTATTGGCCATATGGTTTTCTTGGAAGGTAAAGTACAGACTGCAAGGTTTTGTTTCGAGTTAGAGTTCATACGCATTACAAAGATGTTCATCGTTATTCCAGATTCAAGTTCACAATGCGTTCAAACATTTATACTATCCAATTCCATTCAATTTCATTCAATTGTAACAACACCCCCACAAGAAAATTTGATGCTTTCATGTCTTCAAGCTTTTTTCAAGACTTTGTCATTTAAACTCCGTCCTTAAAATTCATCACCCAACATTTCAAGCTCAAAGGTCATTTACAATTCACACTATAAATTTCAAGTTCATCCAAACCAAACATTCATTACAATCCCATTACACCAATATTCTACAAAGAAAATAAAACGGTTACAAAATACACTTGAACAAAATTCCTTAGTCCTAAAGTTGTTAAAATTCCATGAGTAAACTTCCAATTCCATGCCATGCCAAAGTTCTTCATCTTCAGTTCATGACCTGCACATTCATACAAAAAAAATCCAAGTCAATACAAGCAATCATGCCAAAATATCCTATGCTCATACAAATTACTCGACACATGAAAAACCATTAATTAACCAAAACCAAAACTCAAACACAGGGGATTTCACTGTATCAGAAAGATTGAAGACTAGTGTACATGTTAATTTGGTTTTCTATCTAATTGTGGGATCTATTGGCCTTTTCGGAATTATTCTTCTCATTATGATGCACAGGAGCTGGGGTGGGAGTCTTTTGGGATTTGCTATGACTTGCTCAAATAAACTTGGACTTGCTACGGGTGCATTTCTTCTTGGCTTTGGTTTAAGTGAAATTCCTAAAAGCATTTGGAGAAATGCCGATTGGGCAACTCGTTAGAAAGTTCTCTCCCACAAAATTGCCAGTGAAGGTTAAAGCAGGTTTTCTCGGATCAGTGAAACTTAAGGTTCCATGGAGTAGGCTTGGCCAAGATCCTGTTTTAGTATATTTGGATCGCATTTTCTTATTAGCTGAACCTGCAACACAAGTTGAGGGATGTAGTGAAGATGCAGTCCAAGAAGCTAAGAAGAGCCTAATACAGGAGACGAAATTGAAACTGTGGGAGAAGTCACAACAAATACAGTCAGAAATGAATAAGTCATGGTTGGGATCCCTCATCAGCACCATTATTGGAAATTTGAAGCTTTCAATTTCTAATATTCACATCAGATACGAAGACAGTGAGAGCAATCCAGGGCACCCATTCGCAGATGGTGTTAGTTTGGACAAACTCTCGGCTATGACAGTTGATGATAGCGGGAAAGAGACTTTTATTACTGGAGGTGCACTAGATCGCATTCAGAAGTGTGTTGAACTTGATCAGCTTGCCGTTTATTTAGATTCAGACATTATTCCATGGCATGTTGACAAAGCATGGGAAGATTTGCTTCCTTCTGAATGGTTTCAGATATTTAATTTTGGAACTAAAGATGGGAAACCAGCAGATACTTTGTCGCGAAAACACTCATATATTCTGCAGCCGGTAACTGGGAAAGCAAAGTACTCAAAGCTGCATTCGAGTGAAATTGCTGATAGCAAACAACCATTGCAGACGACTGTTGTGAATTTGGATGATGTTACAATCAACTTATCTAAGGATGGATACAGAGATATGATGAAATTAGCAGACAACTTCGCTACATTTAATCAACGTCTAAAGTATGCTCATTTCCGTCCACGGGTGCCAGTAAAAGTTGATTCCAGGTCTTGGTGGAAGTATGCTTACAGAGCTGTATCTGATCAGATGAAAAAGGCAAGTGGAAAAATGTCATGGGAGCAAGTTTTAAGATACGCAAGAGATATATTTCTCTCTATGCTTCACTGCTCAAGTCTGACCCCAGTCAGGTTACAATTAGCGGAAGTAGAGAGATTGAAGATCTAGATCGTGAACTTGATATTGAACTTATACTGCAATGGAGAATGTTGGCGCACAAGTTTGTGGAGAAATCACTGGAGTCAAATCTTAATGCGAGGAAATAGAAAGTGGGGAAATCTTGGTGGATGGACCGATAACTCTCCTAAAGAGGATACAGAGGAATTCAATTTCAGTGAAGAGGACTGGAACCAGTTAAATAAAATGATTGGGTATAAGGAGGGTGTTATGGTAGCTACTGATTCTCGGGCTAGTATGGGAGGATATATATCATCACAGTCTGTGAAGAAAATTATTGAAATTAATCCGTACATGCTTGGGACAATGGCTGGAGGTGCTGCTGATCGCCAATTTTGGCATAGGAATCTTGGCATCAAGTGTCGCTTGCATGAGTTGGCAAATAAAAGAAGAATTTATGTAACAGGAGCCTCTAAGTTACTTGCAAATATTTTATACTCTTATCGTGGAATGGGATTATCTGTCGGTACCATGATTGCTGGATGGGATGAAACGGGTCCTGGTCTATATTATGTTGATAGTGAAGGTGGAAGACTTAAAGGCACTAGATTCTCAGTTGGATCTGGTTCACCATATGCTTATGGTGTATTGGACAGCGGGTACAAATATGACATGTCAGTTGAGGAAGCTTCTGAACTGGCTCGAAGAGCAATTTATCATGCAACATTTCGTGATGGAGCTAGTGGTGGAGTTGCTAGCGTTTACTACGTGGGACCAACTGGATGGAAGAAATTGTCTGGTGATGATGTTGGTGAACTTCACTACCATTACAACCCGGTTACCCCTAGCACCGTGGAGCAAGAAATGGTTGAGGCAGCTGAACCTTGATGTAGTAACTCATGGATATCTTTTGAGTTTCCTATACTTGTCTGCTTAGTTTGAATCAATTGTGCATCTACCAACAACATGGTAACACCAACTAACATTTTCGTTCAACTACTAACTTCTTCACATAGCATATTACTTCTTAATAACAAAATTGCCTTCAACAAACTTAGCTAAATCCATTAACCTCCTTTCACAATAGAATTTCTAACTAATTTGTTACTAAACTGTCATATTCCCTAACTGTCCAGCAGAAAAATAACTAAACAGTATCCTAGCTACTCTTCATTCCAAAACTAACACATAACCTCCCCTCTAACAGATTTTCCAGCTCATCTCTTAACTACTGTAACTAACTTCCTCAACTCCTAACAAACTCTAACTAACTCTAACTGCATCTTAACTTCCTAACAGAATTAACTAACCACATAACCAACTCATGGCTTATAAATAACAAAACTTCCAGCATATAGAGGGAGATCACAAATAGAAAAAGAGGGAGAGAATAGAATAGGATTCAACACAAAAAAGGGATTTTTATTACCTCTCAATCATCTCATTCTTCACCATTTTTGAAGAATCCACACCAAGAAAATCTCCATAAAAATTCTCAGTGCTCCAACATCATCTTCAACCTCCATCAACAACTTCAACTCTATCTATGCTTCTCTGCAATATCCCGTCGATATTCATCTGAAGATTTCTCTGAAAACTCATCTCCCTTCTTCATCAATAATCTGCAACAATATTCATATAGTCACCATTATTGCTTCATCGCTGCAACTTCACAGCAACATTGACATCAAGAAGGACGAGCATTCGAAAAGCAGGAAAAAGCAGAAGACGGTATCGCAAGGAAACGAAAGAATCAAAGATTTTATACCTGAAGTCTACATCAGTATCTCTGGTTTTCTACTTCTACTCGCCGCCGTTGATACGTATCGGACGATCTCCGATAGGTAACTCCCGGATCACCTCTTTTTGTCATCTCTTTGCTTAGCTTTTGTTACAACTATGGAGCATTAAGCTCAAGGAACTATAACCCCATGGAATCATAGGCTGAGGCACGCATATTACCAGTTAGTTTCCATTTTCAAGGATACTTAGGGTTTTCGGACGTTGATCTATAGGAAGGATTATGAAGAAGAGTTGGCAAAAATTAAGTTCGGATTTAGACTCAGGGGTTAATTTCGGGTGAGATTGGTGTTTGGAAATTCTTGATCCAAGGAGGTTTGCACGGCGGATGAAGAGACGGAGGCTCCGTGACTGGAAATCGGAGATAGTGAGAGACCGGTGGCGCTGTGCTACGGAGAAGAAGAGAACATATCTATCTTTCAACCGTAAATCCCCTTTTTTAATTTCCCTCAGCTTCTCTTTTTACTTTCTTTTTATTTGTTTTATTTTTTTTATTATTCAATAAGAAACTAAAATATATAATAAAACTAGTATGCTAAGGATTGTAGATTAATTAGAAATATGTTGATTAATATGGGCCAAACTAATCAATTCTTGGACTATGATTATTTTTATTTTTCTTATTGATTGTGTCCATTTTTGATGGGGCCTAATGTCATTGTATTTTTTGCAGCACATAGTGAATTTAGTTCGCACCTCCTAAGATCTTATTTGCCATACTCATTTCGATTGCGATTAATTTTGGCGATTTATTTTCTTTGGCAATATTGGTAAATAAAAGAGACTTGAGTGAGGAGTTTCATGAAGTTCCAAAGCTAGCTAAGAGAATAATTTTCAATTACTTGCCCAAGGGAACGTTGATAGAATTTCCTTACCGCTTGCACAATTTTGAAGAGGCAACGGACCTTCTTCGTTCGGTATCGTCACAACTCTATTTTTACTCCTGCACTTTACTACTTTCTAGGTAGAATTCCCTCGAGATTCTAACTTTAGGTCTAATACACGATAACATTAGATCTAGAAATAGGCTAGTCTTCCTGTGACTTTCGTCTTCCTGTGACTTTCGTCTTCCTGTGACTTTCGTCTTCCTGTGACTTTCGTCTTCCTGTGACTTTCGTCTTCCTGTGACTTTCGTCTTCCTGTGACTTTCGTCTTCCTGTGACTTTCGTCTTCCTGTGACTTTTGTCTTCCTGTGACTTTCGTCTTCCTGTGACTTTCGTCTTCCTGTGACCTTCGTCTTCCCGTGACTTTCTTCTTCCTGTGACTTTCTTCTTCCTGTGACTTTCGTCTTCCTGTGACTTTTGTCTTCCTGTGACTTTTGTCTTCCTGTGACTTTCGTCTTCCTGTGACTTTCGTCTTCCTGTGACTTTCGTCTTCCTGTGACTTTCGTCTTCCTGTGACTTTCGTCTTCCTGTGACTTTCGTCTTCCTGTGACTTTCGTCTTCCTGTGACTTTTGTCTTCCTGTGACTTTTGTCTTCCTGTGACTTTTGTCTTCCTGTGACTTTTGTCTTCCTGTGACTTTCGTCTTCCTGTGACTTTTGTCTTCCTGTGACTTTCGTCTTCCTGTGACTTTCGTCTTCCTGTGACTTTCGTCTTCCAGTGACTTTCGTCTTCCTGTGACTTTCGTCTTCCTGTGACTTTCGTCTTCCTGTGACTTTCATCTTCCAGTGACTTTCGTCTTCCTGTGACTTTCGTCTTCCTGTGACTTTCTTTCCTCCTTTGCATATGCAGTTAAAAACAAAAACTTCTTTTTTTTACAAACTTCAAAAATACATAAAAATTTTCTGACAAAAACCATGTCTTGGCTAAGTTTGAGAGATGATGAGCGGGTTTCTTCTCGACATTATTATTCTCTTATTCTAAGCTTTGGTATGATTCAAGTCTCAAAGACTCATTTCATGAATAAGTAGAGAAATGGCTAAAATCTCTCTCTTGAGGTTAACTAGCTATTATCTACAAGCAAAAACACCAACAAACATAAAAATCTTTTTGCCCTCGGGCCTTTCTTTCAAACCCTTTTCAAAAAAGCGTATTAATTCACTTCTGTGCTGACGCGTAAATCTCCAAAGGTCGAGTTGCGGCAGAAGGCGAGATTAATACTGTTCGTTAAAGAAAATACAAACAAACAAAAACATATAAGCCGAACTACGGCTGCTCTGATTCCTTAAAATGGATACGTAGGCATTGGAGTAGGGCCCAGGCGAGCATAATTTTATTTTCCCTACATTTTCCCCTTTTCTTTTGCATGCATTTTCCCTTAGCAGTAATGAACAGTAAGCATAGATTAAACACACCCATAAGATAGATAACAAGAGTGGATACCGTAGAGTACTACGGGCGTGTGGGGTGCTAATACCTTCCCCTCGCGTAACAGACTCCCTTACCCTTATCTCTTGGTCGTTTGACCTTGATTTCATCCTTCTCGGGTTTTCTCGATGTTTACCTTTCCCTACATGTGGGATAAAAGACGTTCGATGGCGACTTCATTGTTTGATGATTTTCAGCCGGTTGTTTCATCCATGGCTGGAAGTTGAAGATGAAGTCATTTTCAGCACTGGATTGGTGTTATGTGTTTATTGTTTTGTTTATGTTAACGGATGTATAGCCACCCAAGTGGTAGAAGCGCGCGCCTGTAACTAGAGGGACCTGGATTCGAGCCTCAGTGGTACCCTTTTTGCTTTTTTTTTCCACATTTTCACACATTCTGACTTTGTCTTTTTTTGGCAGCGCTGGGCCTAACAGCTTTGGGCCTAACATTTTTGTTACTTCTGACCCCCTTGCTAGCTTTTCACACCCCTGGCCCATTTTGTTTTCTTTTTCTCATTTTTATATTTTATTTTCTTAAATATTTTATCTAATACTAAAAATCAGAAAAAATATAAAAATATTAATTTATATTTTAATATAGTTTATTTATTTTTTAAACAAAAAATTATTTTATTTAATCATACTTTATGCATTTTTACTAATTGATTTTTGTAAATTTAATTAAAAACTAAGGTTTTAGTTATTTTCGTTTATACAATATTTTTAAAACAAAAAAAAAAAGACCAAAAATATTTTATAATACTATAAATTATTTTTAAGACAAATGAGAATCCAAATGCTGGGCCAGTTGGCTCTCATCCAAAACTTGGCTCAAGGACAAGAAGAGTTAAAGACCCTCATCAACAAACTCCGTCAAGACGGATGTAACCAAATGGGGTGAACATCTAGAAGTAGGGGTCAAATCATCATCCAGCTGCCCATAAGATAAGAGGTTGGTTCAAGGGAAAACAGACCATTCCGAATTTCTGCCACATCACGGGTCCAATAACGGCCTCGACAACATCAACCAGAAAACCAGCAAAGGCAAAACAAGCCCAAAAGATAGTTTACTAACATCAACATGCCACTGTCTCAAGCTTTGCAACATATGTTAAGGTTGGATCTGATTACACCAATAAGACCTCATCCAAATCCCAAAAATTATACTCCCAACTACAATCCTGACGCCAGGTGTGCCTATCATTCCGACAGTCCTGGACATGATACAAACGATTGTTGGGCGCTGAAGTACAAGATTCAAAACTTGATCGACAAAGGAGCGTTGGAGTTCACACAAGACGGTCAATTGGAGCTTTTTTCTATCACCCCTTAAAGGCTAACCACCTAAAGTTACAAGTCCAGACAAAGAGGCTTCTGTTCATTTGAATTTTCAATTGTAATCTCTTTTGTTGCTCAAACAATCATCTATTAATGTCAAACTTTGTTTCATTAATGCATTGCATATGTTTGTCTTGAATCCATCCATTCATTTTCACTATATTCAAACTATTCTTTTTACTCTCTTTATGAGATTAAACTCTCGTTAAAAGTTACAAGCCTTTAGAGGGAGGATGACAAAAACAATGCCATAAATCTCATACAATATGCTTTTGAACAGACCTTGCTGACGATGTACATGCGTTCTTTCAAATCCTAAACACTGGAGTTATAAGGAATATAATCCCTAGTCAACCCCTTCAATCCAAAGAAGTAGGAATTTTTTTTTCCACACAAAATGAAACCTTCAATCAAAACCTGGGGCAGGGTAGTCTCTCATTTA